AGGCTTGAAAGTCAAAATGACTCCTTGGTCCACAGGCTGTAGAACAGACGTTGTGTGAGCAGGCATGAAAACAACACTAATCGCATTGTACAGCTCCATCAGAGCTCTTGGGTGACCAGGTGCATTATCGATGAGCAGTCATATATATATTTTAAGATGTAGGATGCTTTTTTATTTTAAGATTTATTTGAGAGAGACAGAGCGGGGGGAGGAGGGGCAGAGGGAGAAGGACAGAGAGAATCTCGAGCAGACTCTCCTCTGAGCATGGAACTCAATCTCACAACCTTGAGATCATGTCCTGACCCAAATCAAGTCGGACGCTTAACTGACTGAGCCGCCCAGGCGCTCTGAGCAGTCATATTTTGAAAGAAATCTTTTCTGAGTGGCAAGTCTCAACAGTGGGCTTTAAATATTGAGTAAACCATGTTGTAAACGGTTATGCTGTCATCTAGGTTTTGTTGCATTTATTGAGCACAGGCAGAGTAGATTTAGCATAAATTCTTAAGGGCCTGAGGCTTTTCAGAATGGTCCATGAACACAGGCTTCAACTTAGAGTCAGCCTGTCCTTTGAAGCTTTGGAGCCAGGCATTGACTTCTCTCTAGGTATGAAAGTTCTAGATGGCCTCTTCTTCCAGTAGAGGGCTGTTTCATCTACATTGAAAATCTGTCATTTAGGGCGCCTGGGTGGCTCAGTTAAGCATCCAACTCTTGATTTTGGCTCAGGTCATGATATCTCTCTCTCTTGCTCTCTCAAATAAATAAATAAAATCATTTTTAAAAAAATCTGTTGTTTAGTGCAGCCATGAATGATCTAGAGCTTCTGGATCACTTGCTGCAACTTCTACACCAGCCCTTGTTGCTTCACCTTGCACTTTTGTGTTATACATATGACTTCTTTCCTTAAAGCTCATGAACCAGCCTCTGCTAGCTTCAGACTCTTCTTCTGCAGCTCCCTCACCTCTCAGCCTTCATGGAATCGAAGAGAGTGAGGGCCCTGCTCTGGATAAGGCTCTGGCTTAAGGCAATGTTCTGGTTGGTTTGATCTATCCAGGCCACTCAAACGTTCTCCACATCAGCAGGAAGGCTGTGTCACTTTCCTATCATTTGTGTGTTTGCTGGAGCAGCACTTTTTTTTTATTGTTATGTTAGTCACCATACATTACATCATGAGTTTTTGATGTAGTGTTCCCTGACTCATTGTTTGCGTATAACACCCAGTGCTCCATGCAGAATGTGCCCTCTTTAATACCCATCACCAGGCTAACCCATCCCCCCACCCCCCTCCCCTCTAGAACCCTCAGTTTGTTTTTCAGAGTCCATCGTCTCTCATGGTTCGTCTCCCCCTCCGATTTCCCCCTCTTCATTCTTCCCCTCCTGCTATCTTCTTCTTTTTTTTTTCTTAACATATATTGCATTATTTGTTTCAGAGGTACAGATCTGAGATTCAACAGTCTTGCACAATTCACAGCGCTTACCAGAGCACATACCCTCCCCAGTGTCTATCACCCAGTCACCCCATCCCTCCCACCCCACCCCCCACTCCAGCAACCCTCAGTTTGTTTCCTGCAATTAAGAATTCCTCATATCAGTGAGATCATATGATACATGTCTTTCTGTTTGACTTATTTCACTCAGCATTAATACCCTCCAGTTCCATCCACATCATTGCAAATGGCAAGATTTCATTCCTTTTGATGGCTGCATAATATTCCGTTGTATATATATATACCACATCTTCTTTATCCATTCATCTGTCGATGGACATCTTGGCTCTTTCCACAGTTTGGCTATTGTGGACATGGCTGGAGCAGCACTTTTAATGTCCTTTGCATTCACAACTTGGCTGTCTGGCACAAGAGGCCCAGCTTCCGGCCTATCTCGGCTTTCAACATGCCTTTCTCACTCAGCTTAATCATTCTAGCCCTTGATTTAAAGTGAGAAGCATGAGTCTTTTCCTTTCACTTCAATACTTAGATGCCACTGTAAGGTTGTTAATTGGCTTAATTTTAATAATGTTGATCTCAAGGAATAGTGAGGCCCGAGGAGAGGGAGAGAGGTGGGGAAATGGCTCAGTGGTGGAACAGTGAGAATAATACACAGACCATTTATTGATGAAGTTTTGCCGTCTCATATGAGCATGGTTTGTGGCTCTGCAAATTACGATAGTAGCATCGAAGATCACTGATCCCAGATTACCACAACAAATGTAATAATAACGAAAAAGTTTGAAATACTGCAAGAATTACCAAATTGTGGCAGAGACATGAAATGAGCAGATGCTATGGCGCTGGTGCAGACAGACTTGCTCGACGAAGGCTTGCTACAGACCTGCAATTTGTAAAAAAAAAAAAAAAAAAAAAGCATCATCTGTGAAGTGCAGTAAAGCAAAGCTCAATAAAAGGATGTATGCCCGTATAGGCTGGACAGTTGTTGCTATGCACAGCAATGTGTTAACGATAACTTGAGACAATTCGTCCTCATTTATGCCAAGTATTCATATACACGTGATTTCAACAAATTCCCACAACACTGTGAGATAGGTAAAGAAGTCATTATTATCTTTAAGCTTCAAAGAAAAAGAGCTGGCACAGAAAGGTTAAGTGACTGCCCCAAGATCACAGAGCCAGCTTGCTTCGTAACACAGATTAAAATGTTCAGGTCTTCCCTAAATATATGGGGCTGTGGGATAAATAATGAAAGTATTTTAGAGACTTTAATTCATTTTGGGATTTGATATCATTGAACCACTCTTGGACCACATGGGAACACAGCTTCATAATTCCAGAAAGAGGTAGTACATTACAGTTTGCTTTGACCCATTAAGATTGTGGATAGCAGAGAAGGGAAAAAAATTCACAGACTTTATAACATTTCCCATTACTGATGAGGAGGACTCCTATATATTTAGAAAATTGCAGATCTGTGGCCCTTCCCAAAATGACTTGAACATATTTTAGGGATCTGAGTTTTCATCTGATGAAAGCTAAGTGAGATTGTTACAATTGTTCTAAAAAATTAAGTCTGCTTATATCCGCTTTTCCAACATGATATCAAGTTTATGGTAATAATTATCCCAAAACTCATTAAGAAAAAATAAATCCATCACTGTCTATTTTGTTTCCTTGAAGTGGCTCATTATGTTCAGAGTAGAGCAAAATGCATCAACATTTATATGATATACCTTTGGATTTAGTTGATTCCTCGCAATAAAAGGATTTGAGTCAAAACCAATTTGCCATTCACGACCAAGGGGGCTCTGGGGACCTTGTAGCAAGCACTTTGTTTAAGTGAATTCACACAAAATAATGTTCCAAGTTGTTATTTTCTATTCGTTTACTGCTTTTGTCTATCAAATGTCAATGGTTGAGTCTTCTAAGCAGCTCAGGGTTCAAACAGGCGAGAATGAAAAAGTTGAAGATAGCTAAAAGTTCTTTCACTGAACCCAAGCTAAGAACTAAATTTTGCGGGTTTTTTTAAATTATTATTTTTAACTGGGTAGCACATACTTATGGTAAAAAACATTCAAACAATACCAAGAGCATGTATGTTGAGCAGTGAATCTCCTTGCCAGCCCAGTTTCTGCATCTCTCAGTTCCTGTCCTTGAAGAAGCCATTGTTATTGCTGTCTTGAGTATTCTCCAGAAATAATCTATGCATATTCAGGTCCTGAGTTTGCAATGTCTCCTGCACTGCCCAGAAAGGCAGAGAGCGAAGACACTGCATTATGTGTTGACTTTTTGGATGATCAGGGTCTAAACTGTTTGTCTGAATTTGTGACAACTTGCCTCAAACACACAAAAATCAGATTTAGAACAATAGGTCATAATTTTAAAAACAAATTAATTTTGTTGTGAGGATTTGGAGGGATTCAGAGATCCTTACTTAAAGATATTTGGAAATATATTCAGCCACAGGAGGTGGGGAGGAGGGAAGACAGTAGAGTGAAAAATTCTTCAGCAAAGAATTTTATTTAAGAGTAAAATCTCCAGAACTTTGTCTGGTTCTCATAATTTCACTTGGGTTCTGTTTGAAGACTGCATTTGGCCAGGGTTCCTTTTTTTTTTAATTTATTTATTTGAGAGAGAGCAAGCATAAGCAGGGGGAGGGACAGATGGAGAGAGAGAGAGAAGCAGACTCCCTGTTGAGCAGGGAGCCAGACTTGGGGCTCAATATGAGGACCCTGGGATCATGATCTGAGCTGAAGGCAGACGCTTAACCGACTGAGCCACCCAGGCACCCCCGGCCAGGGTTACTTTTAATAGGAAAAGTTAGAATCATTATTTAATCATTAAAGGAAGTGTAAGTCCAGCTCCAGAATTTACTAGTTTGTGGCCTTGGGCAATTTGTTTATCCTTTTGAAGGCTTCTGGATATCTATAAAATGAGGCTAATAGTACATATCTCCTAGAATGGGGGAGTGGACTAGCTCACAACAAATGTAGCTGTTGTTATTCTTCCTTCAGTGTCATCTGTGTTTAGGGAATAGTTGAGGTGTATTAAATATATTTGTGCTGTCGTTTGCTTGTCAATTGCATGTGAAATCATAAACACTAAAGTGTTTTGAAACTCTAAAAGGGCTAGCTAAATGCAAAGCATTTTTATGTATCTGGGCTTTCGTAAGCTTAGAATGTCTTCTGATGTAAGGTTCTGGTTTTAAATCATTACTCTTATCCCTGAAAAAAAGGTCATTTTGATTTTCCTTCTTCCTTATCATCCACCCAGTGTAACTGACACATTCTCATTTCCAGATAGTTGCCATAGAGCCCGGACGTCCCAAACCATTGCACACTGAGCTCCTGCTCATGGGGAGCAGAGCAGTTAGGGGAGCCCTCCTGGCTCAGCCTGGGGCCACAGTTATTTGGATATGTCAGAATGTCCCATCTGATTCTCAGGTGAAAGACTTAGATGACATTCTGTCTTCCTTTGCTCTGAGGAATAAAGCAATCATCTATTCCTGCTACTATAACTTTAATTGTAACATATTTATGTATTTTTTTCCAGGCCTCTAACCCTGGGCAGTTTGAAAATGACAGTGATGCATTATGGCAGCGAGGGCAAGTTCCAGAATCCGTTGTTTGTCATAGTCGAGTGGGAATAAATACAGATGCCCCGGATGAAGCCCTGGTCGTCTGTGGCAACATGAAAGTGATGGGGACCATTATGCATCCCTCTGACAGCCGGGCAAAGCAGAACATCCAGGAGGTGAGCATGGGGCAGGCCTTGGGCACCTCCTCTGACACCTGAGTCAGGTGTGCTGGGTGCTCCTGGACGCTGACACGCCTTGCAAAGGGCATCTCTACATGTCTCCTGTTGGTGTAAGACGAACCCAGTGCTTAACAGTTGTGAGTGTGGGAGCCGACAGACATCTCTGCTGAGACTGTAATGTGTTTCCTACCCAGGAGAGTGGATTTACCTGACAGGAACGGTGGGCAATGACAGCACAGCGCTGGCTTCACAAGCAGAAAATCTCTGAGTTACCGGCCACGGGCCACTGCCCTTCCTTGCACGCATCGTCAGCTGCTGGAGCTTGCCTTTTCCTTCGCCATCTCCAGACATCCCTCTCCCTGTTCATCTTCCAGGCGCTGTCTCAGTCCGGGTCCTGCCCGTATTTCTCCTGAGCCTCCCAGCCTCTTCCTCCCAGACCCCCTGCCAGCCGTCATCTTCCCACTCATCATCTTTCTCTGAGGAGCAGTTAGAGGAGCACCTCCTCTCCCTCTTCCCTCCAGCTAGGTCAATCCCATCGCCTAAGGCTCCAGGCCAAGGCCTTCTCCTGTCTGTGGAGAGTTAGTCGTCGAGTGGAAATCAGAAATCAGGCCTGGAAATCAGGAGGTGCTTCTCCACTTTGGGCTTATCCCAGCAACATGGCCCTAGATAAGACAACTCCGCCCAAACCCACTGCCTTCATCTAGAAGGTGGAAAAGGTGCCTCTCTGCTCGATCCTACCAAGTCTTTTATAGTTTTTAACCCATTGAGATAAGAATCATCTTGGAAAGTCACAACTGCTGTGAAGACCTAAGAGATGAGGATTAAGATGCTTATCCCTTAGCCAGACCACGCTCAGTTCTAGCTCCTCCACTGTTTAATTCTGTTTCTCATTCACTGCTTCTACCGTTTCCCCACCTTCTCATGCACCCTGCTTCTCCTATAAGCATGTTTGAGGCTGTGGCAGAATTGTGTTTTTGAACCTCCTTTACTTAGTCTTTGTTAGTTAATAGGAGACGTAATCTGTAAATCATTGGCCATTCTTCCGGACTGCATTCCTTACCCAGTGCAAACGTGCACTGGTTTTTCTAAACCGGCCAAAGAATGTCCTCCTTTGCTGAGTGGATTCCAAAGAATGGTTGTAATTGTAGACTTTTATGCTGATTGCAAAGCTGTGGTTCGTGTTAGAAGAGCTGTGACCTACTGCCAGATGGGAACTCTTAGGGCTAGAAAGTTCTCACATACATTTCCCAATCCCAGTCCTAGATATTGTGCTTTTGACTTTTAGAGAGAGAGAAACTGTCTGCGTGTCAGATCACACCAAATCAAATGACGGCCGTTTGCATCAGGGTCAAAACTTTCCAAAACTGCCATGCACAAGATCAGATCAGACACCTGAATTCAGCTTTAGCTTCTTGCTCAATGCACGTTGATGAGCAAGGTGTGGTGTTAAGTGCTGACCAGTGTTTGGTTCCTGGGGGAGGATTCCGAGAAGGCACAGCCCTTGCCTCGAGGGCTTTCCCTAGGCCAAGAGTATGTATTGGGAATGTGCAGTACAGCCGCTGATATTTAGCTTGGGAAAGTCTACAACCCTGCATTAGAAACCAGAAGAGCATTTTCTTACAGAAACGTTGTTATAGAAGGTGTTTCGATCCCCAAACCAACCCTCAAAGTTTTCTTCAGCCAAAAATCTATCTGAAGCACAATGATAATAATACTGTAGAACTCCATCACTCTGTCCAGCAATATGTCTTTAGGGAAGATGTGTTAAAGGAGTCAGCTTAGTCACCCGGGGTCATGTTCCCTCTATGTGGCCTGGACAGCCTGAGTGAGGGCACAGCCTCGTCTGCTTTCTGTTGGCAGCAAAGGTCCCCCGTGAAGGCTCATGCAGGAACCAAGGGGAGAATGAAGAGTAGGTGAAGCAAGCACAGGACCCCCTGGGTGTGGGGAGTGGGGAACTGAGTAGGGCCTGGCTGGTGCAAGGCCAGTCCAGGCTGGCTCCTGACTGACCCCCCTGTCTTCCCTTTTGTTAGTGTCAGGAACTGTCGGGCCATTTTACTACCTTCATTCTCTCATTCCAGCTTCTTCCATTGAAGGGTTTGGGTGCGGTTACAGATCAGGCACACGGCTAGGCACTGCAGAGGTCCTGAGATGAACTGGCTATGGGTCTTACCCTCAAAAATAGAACTTTTTAAAAAATTAAAACTCCAAGTCGGAAATACTCACTGAATCTCCAATGCCTGGGATAACACATCTGGCACACAGTAGCTGTTCGTTAAGTATTTGGTGAATGACTTGTCCCTCTCCCAGGCCCCTCTGGCCCTCCCCCTGCACACACACACTCTCTCATTCAAATAAATAAATAAATAAGATCTTTAAAAATAAATAAATATTTGTTGAATGGATGAAGGAGCTCACAGTGTTAGATGTGTGACTGCTCCTTCCTAGCATGGCCTGCAAGGCCCTCCCTGCTCTGACCTTAATCTTTACAGTGTAGTAATGCCCACCTCTGCTCTGGTTGTGCAGACATCATTCAGGGGACTTAGTCCCTTGGGACTCCACTCATGGTATTCTTTCTGCCCAGCATCCCTGTCTTGGTCTCACCCTTTCCATCCCTTCTCCCTACCTTGCCTCTTTCCCTGGCTAAGTCCTATCTTAAATTCATTTTTATTAGATTTATTTATCAAATTATTAGTTTATTTAACAAATGTTAGTTGAGCATCAACTACATGCAAGGAATTATACTGGAAACTGGTAATATGGTGGTGAACAGAAAACCATGGCCTTAAATATGTCTCCGCCCTCATGGGGTAGTATCCTATAGGGAAGACGGGTAATAAAGGTGACACAGCTAGTAGCCTGGTGATAACTTTGATGGTCGCTATGGAGGAAAATAACAGCTCCCATTAGCACATAAGGCAAAGGGACCCTTCCTAGTGTTGGAAGTCGAGAAGTGCTTCCCTGGTGAAGGGATGTTTACGTTGCGGCAGGAGAAGGTAGGAGTGAGAAGGAAGAGCTTTTGAGGCAGGGAAAATGCCCTGAGCCAAAGGCCAGGGTGAAAAGAGCCAGAGTTTGTTTGAGAACCAAAATAAGCCAAGATCTCCGTGGGGCTTCACCATTTCTAGGAAGCCTTCCTTTATGCTCCCCTAGGAATATTTTAGGGACCTCCTTGGGGCTGCCATAATTCTCTATTCATAATTCCGTTATCACTCTGCATTTCTCACATTGTAATGGAATCATATGTGATGAGTCTGCCTTCCTATCTAGACGACAAACATTTTTTAGTAATGTTCATTTAATAAGTCTAAATTTTAGGAAACTTGGAATGTGTAATCCCATAGAAAAAGTATGACACAAGGTCAAGACAATCAGAAAACCTATGAATTTATTTATTTTTATTTTATTTTTAAAATTTCTTAATTTTTATTTTGCTTATTTATTTCTTATTTGAGTACAGTTAACACACAATGTTACATTAGTCTCAGGTGCGCAACATAGTGATTCGGTAACTCTCTAGCTTATGCTGTGTCCATCACAAGTGTAGTCACCGTCCAATGCTGTTACAGCTCCACTGACTATATTTCCTATGCCGCACCTTTTCTTCCCATGACTTCATTTCGTAACTGGAAGCCTGTATCTCCCACTTCCCTTCACCCATTTTGCCCATCCCCCACCTCCTCCCCTCTGGCCACCATCCGTTTGTTCTCTGTATTTATAGGCTTGACTCTGCTTTTTGTTTGTTTATTCATTTCTTTTGTTTTTTGGATTACACATATAAGTAAAATCATATGGTATTTATCTTTCTCTGTCTGACTTATTTCATTTAGCCTGATACCCTCTAGGTCCATCCATGTTGTCACAAAAAGCAACGTCTCACCATTTTTAATGGCTGAGTAACATTCCATTGTATGAATATACTACATCTTCTTTATCCCTTCATCTATGTGGTTGAACACTTGGTTGCTTCTATATCTTGGCTTTTGTAAATAATGCTACAATAAGTATAGGGTGCATATATCTTTTTGAATTAGTGTTTTCATTTTCTTTGAGTACCCAGTAGTGGAATTATTGGATCATACGGTATTTCTATTTTTAACTTCTTGAGGAAACTCCATATTGTTTTTCACGATGGCTGTACCAATTTATAGTCCCACGAACAGTGCATGAGGATTCCCTTTTCTCCACATTTGCACTGACACTTGCTATTTCTTGTCTTCTTGATTCTAGCCATTCAGTAAGGTGATATGTCACTGTGGTTTTGATTTCCATTTCCCTGTTGATTAGTGACATTGAGTGTCTTTTCATGTGTCTGTTGGCTATCCAGATATCTTCTTCGGGAAAATGTCTATTCAGGTCCTCTGCCCATTTTTAATCAGATTATTTGTTTTTTTGGTGTTCATTTGTATAACTTCTCTATATATTTTGGATATTAATCCCTTATCAGATATATCATTTGCAAATATCTTCTCCCATTTAGTAGGTTGCCTTTTTGTTTTGTTGATGGTTTCTTTTGCTGTCCTAAAGCTTTATATTTTGATATAGTCCCAATAGTTTATTTTTGCTTTTGTTTCCCTTGCCGTAGGAGACATATCTAGGAAAATGTTGCTATGGCTGATGTCAGAGAAATTACTACCCATGTTCTCTTCTAGGAGCTTTATGGTTTCAGGTCTCACAATTAGTAGAGCACAAACTTTTAAAAGGTCATCATTTTTTAAAGTGACAACACGTAGTGTAGTGCATTGTATGTTGAAGGTGATTGGTAGATGTTAGTTGAATAAAATAATGAATGAATGAATTGAACCAAGCTTTTGATAATAGCAGGTATCAAAATAACAGTGAGCTCAAAATCATACTTCCCAAGAAGAACCTAAAGTAAATTTTTCCCATTTAGCCAGTTAAGTGTCAAGCCACCACCTTTTACAATCAGCCAAACTAGTGAAGGACAGGGAGCTTTTAATGATGGAGGAGCTTTCCCACTCACCCAACAGAGTGGGTCAAGGGAGGAGTTGAGGGCCGTGTCAGGGGTTTTCATATAACAAGAAAAATGAAGCACTTTTGGTTACTCTAACACATGGATGAATGTCCAGGCAGTATAATTTTAATTGCCAAGAGACTATTGGTTTTGTAATCGTTATATCCTAAAAGAAAAAGGGCTGCTAGCATTTTACTTATAGAATAAGGTCATTTAAAAAATAGGTTCTGCTAGTACCATGAATTCATTAAAAAAAAACAACAACAACAACAACAACAAAAAACCTCAAAAGAGAATTCTTTGAATCATACCCATTTGGCTTTAGGAAAAATTCACTCTATTGTCTTTGTTGTCATTTTGCTGGGACCCGGTGACATTATTTTGAGGAATTTGCAGTGAGAGCTGGGAATACCTTTAGTAACCTATGAGAGCAGTGAACTCAGAGAAGCATACCATCACTGACCAGAGTGGTTTGGGGGAGAAGCCATCTGTAGGAGAGGAAAGTCTGGATCCTAGGAGGCCTTTGCTACCTGCCACTTGAGGAAATTTTCTCCAGCAAGGTGTCCAAAAGGAATTCAATGATATAGGATATTTCCATTCTTTAAAGGTTTTTTTACTTTTACTAAACCTTTTCAATTTGTAAATACAAGGTTGGCCTATATTTATTTGGTGTTTATACCGTATGTTCATTTGGAAATGATCCCTTGCACTCATGAATAGCAATTGTTTCTCTCCAAAGCGATCAGTCTCCATTCTCAGAAGGAGAGTTTTCCTCTCAGAGGAGAGAAAAGAAGGGCAAGAGTAGTGAATGAGGGAGCTTTCACTCTGTAATTTAGATATAAAAACTCTGTCTCAATTTGTCCGTGAATGGAAGTCACTGATATGGACCTTGAAGCTTGGGTTTCTCTGAGGAGAAAAACATAAATTTCTCTTAAAATAGTTTGGGCAAGAGGAAAGAACAGTCCCATTGTCAACGCTCCTAATTTCTCTAGGTCCCTTTGGGCATTGATTTGAATAGGAAATCATCTAAGTGGCTGAAATCTGCTCTTCTTTCATTAAATTAGGTTGACACAAATGAACAGCTAAGACGAATAGCCCAAATGAGGATCGTTGAGTATGACTACAAACCTGAATTCGCGTCTTCAATGGGAATAAACACTTCCCATCAAACAGGTATGCACACAAATTCCCTTTTTAATTTTGTGTTGTCAACTCTTAAAAGTTTAACTCCCTCTTTATCTGGAGGTTGTGTGCTATGGCACTGATTTTCTCTGTGAAATCCACACTCACTCGAGTGGGAAAGGTCAGAGAAATGTCTGTGTCATCTTTACTCGACACCCTCCCCCCAACTCCTGCACCCCCATGGTCCTGGTGGAATATTTTGAATACGTAGTTTCTTTTCATGGGAACCATCTTGCTCATGCAATGCGGGCTCAGGGGTGGATGGCAGCTCCAACTGTAAGAGGGGCAGCACTGGGCCCCTGGGAGAGGGGAGGTGGCAGAGTAGGTGGGTCTAGTTCAGAGAAGGGGCAAAGAGGTGTTGATGCCCCCACCCAGGAATCCTAAAGAAACAGGGGCCATTTAGGTGGCAAATCCTCCTGCAGGAAAAGAGGAAATCCAGCTAATGTCCCACTCTTACTTCTATACACAGGGATTCTAAGGTATTTGCCCACTCCTCCCAACATTCGGCCCAGAGTCTCAAGGAAAAGTGAGGAAAATGACACCCCTGCTTTTAAGCCTATAGTGATTATGGGCTCAAAATTCCTTCTTTGCTTCAAACATATCTTAGATCAAAGCAAAAGCTGAAAAGGGGTAATAAGCATCTATTTGCAAAGATGTCCCGGGAGGCTGTCAGCAGTCCATTTTGATGTAGGCCTGGGAGGATTTTCTCCAGAAAGCTGTTTTCCTGACTAAACGAGTTGGAGTGTTTGGGTCTAGGGATGATCGCCCAGGAGGTACGAGAGATCCTGCCTCGAGCTGTCAGAGAGGTTGGTGATGTCACCTGTGAAAATGGAGAGACGCTGCCCAACTTCCTCATGGTCGATAAGGTAACTACAGAATCAATCTGCCTCTGGAGTGACAACCCCACAGGGGACCCCTTTTCTGTGGCCTCGAAATACACTGAAACATCCAACCAGGAGACAAGAAAGCTTCGCTGAGCTGTGCGGTAATTGGTATCAGCCATGGCACCTTGGGCATAAGTACCAAAAACAAGCCCCCTATGGGAAAAAGAAAAAGGAGTATGTAACAGTGACAGGAGAGGTCAGCGGGCCTTAATGTTGGAGGGAGACTGGCCCGGGTAAAGTCCACGTACCAGGAGTGCACCTAAAACGAGGCCCTGGCGTCATGTGAAATAGTGACAACAAGCTGTGATCAGATTTGTCTTAAAAAATGGAACTAGAACTTCTGAGAGTGTAGTTTATCTCACAGAATACAGTTTAGGTTAGCATGAAAATAGAATGATGGAAATCGTAGAATGACTGAAGGTGGAATGAAGTGTTGATGTTTTTTGTGAGCACAGTTTCTCAACAAAGTTGTATGTTCTACTTTCGTCGCACAATCATAAAGTGGGTCAGTTTTGCAAAGGTATTCATGAGCCTCGTCATTTTTCCCAAGGGACTGTCCTAATTCTTTGATATTCAAATCATTCTCTTTGAAGGAATGTCCCTGTCTTTGTAGCTGAGCTCCCCTTTGCAAGGTAAAGGGGTCTCAGTGTGCCATTCCCTTGCTTGCTTTGTGTGTGTGACTTGAGTCGGTCTCCAAGATCGTGTTTATTAATTCTGTGAAAGCCTGCGTCGTGGCAAGGTTTGCAGACTCACCCCGCTGCTGATCTGTTGTACATTGCCCTGCTCTGATGCTGGCGGGAAAACCGATTGACATGAGGATATTGTAGTCGTAGGGACAGATGTCTGAGTGGAGACTAATTTGTAATTTGTCAGTTCACGGGGGCAGTGCTTCTCCAACTTCAAGGTGTACATGAATCAGTGGAGGAACTTGCTAAAATACAGGCGGATGCAGCAGGAACGGGGTGAGACCCAAGAGCGTGCATTTTTAACCAGCCTCCAGGTGGTGCCAATTTTGCTGATCTTGCTGGTAAGCAAGCCACACGGAGCAGCAAGGTGGAGGGTCCCTTTCCCTGTTGGGCCCTTCCTCAGTCTTCTTCCTCTGGGCTCTTGGGCAACAAATACTTAGCTGATGGGGTGTGGATGGCCTGCTCTGCCCTGGGCCGCAGGGGTAGAGTGGCAGACGTGTGGTTACTTCCTCCTGCTTCCCACACCCGTCTTGAGTAGAAGCCCCTCTTTGGTCTCAGACCTGGGCTATCACTTCCCGTGAGAGGTGTATCATGAGAAATCTATTTTTAATAATAAAGTAGTGAAGTTTTCCCATTATTTACTCAAAATATAAGATAAGAGATACTCCGAGGTATTCGTGTCATAAGGTCACCCCCACTCTCTCGCATTTTCAGAAGCTTCCTGGGTGAGAGAAAACTGAAGGCACAGCTGTCTGGCTCAGGGTGCAGCCCTGGGAGTGTGCCATTAGGCTGTCAAGGTGGGGCTCTTGGGGTTACTCATTTGGTGGCAGCCATGTCACTTCTGACTGTGGCCCTCCCCTAGAACACCCCAGAAAGAGATGTCTGCGATTTCTGTGTAGGTAACATCTGCCCAGGGCCTTACGATTATCACTCTGTAGGAGAATAATTAGTTTTCCCCTGGCCCACTATCAAACTTAAGGTGAATGAGGATAGTCAGGATTATTAGCAGCCACGGTTCTGAGGGCTACCCAACGCCTTTACCCCCTGGAGAGGCTACAACCCAAATTCATTCCTAAGAAGGCCAGAGCCTTGGGAAGATAAGGGGTGGTATTCCTAGTCTAAGCAGCCAGGTTTGTTTGTCCTCTGAGCGGCGGTCTACGCCAAGGCAGCATTCGGTTTATAGGTAAATACAACTGACAGGAGTCCAGAAGAGACAAGTTGTGATTCTCTTAATAACAGGATCTTGCAGTGATTCAATCTATGGAGCCATCACCAAGGCCACACTCATTCACCGAACATGTAACACTATGAGCAGGTGAACATCCCCATGCTCTGAGGCCTGGCTTTCCACTTTGGCTCACTCCCTAGGAGAGACTTCAGTTACTGGTGTAATCCTCAACACTGTGGAATATCTCTCCACTACATTATAAATACTTCACAGAATAGCCCCTTTGTTATTTCTTCTTAAGAACACAGGTAATGTGACTCTTGTTGTCCCATGCTCTCTGTTAATTGTACAATAAGCAAGATGTACAGAAAGCCTCTTGCTTTCTGGTCTCCTACCCATTTGTGTGGGCACCATGTTGGCCTTGGTTGCCACATTCAGGACTGCTTGTTATTCTTTTTTTTTTAAGATTTTATTTATTTGAGAGATAGAGAAAGAGAGCATGGCAGAGGGAGAGGGAGAAGCAGACTCCCCACTGAGCACAGAGCCCGATGTGGGACTCGATTCCAGGACCCTGGGATCATGACCTGAGCCACCCCGGCGCCCCAGGACTGCTTGTTTTAAGGAACGTCTCTAGGACGTCCTGGCCACATGTGCTATAGCAATGGGTGGAGATCAGGTTCAGTTACAGTGTCTCCCTCTGCACTCCGTTTCTCTTCCACCCAATGATCCTTTTGTATAAAGAAATTTTTATTGAAGCTAAAGCGCAAACTAGAAATGCACATGAAAATGTTGAAATGTTGTACTTCATGATTGCTATATCTTTTCCACATGTACTTTGCAATTTTGTGCCCAAGTAAGAAACAGAATGGTTGGAACTTTACAGACTGTCCATGTAACCAACCATAGCTGGAGATGAGTGGTGTTGGCCAAAGGAGGTAGAAATTATTTTTCTTTCAGAAGAGATGACTGCGTAAGATAAGCTTCTCTTCTCTGGGGTAATTTGCTTCTTCTCATAAATCCCTCATGATTTGTGTGCCCCAGTGAACGCTCAGTGATGGGAGGTGACATGAGAGGGCTCCAGGCTGGTCCTGAGAGCCAGGGGGCCAAGGGGGGTGAATGCCATAGTCTAACCCTGCATGAGACCCCGAGAACTTTGCCCTTCGGCTTGTTCATCTATCTCTTTACTTGGCCACTTCATTTATTTCTGTGATTATTTGGGAGTAGGTTTTTATATTTCTTGAGCATTATTACCAGGTTTACTTGGTGTAAGAAAAATGTACCCAATAAATGTCAGAGTGGCCTTACATGTATTTACAGCTAAGTCTGTATGAAGATGAGGTGCAGTTTGTGAGTAAGTAGGCCTTGAATAATGTGTGTGTGTGTGTGTGTGTGAATGTTTTATGAAATGATGTTATAAGCCACCCTACTATACCTTAGTATGTGGTTCCTTTTTACTCATTGATTCTCATTGATTCTCTTTTTCCTTCAACTGGGAGGAATTTTCTGTTCAATTCATGCAAAGATAAGTAAGACAGGGTGCCTGTCTTCAAGCAGCTGACAGTCTAAGTGGAGTGATGAGACAGGATGCAAGAACGGAGCTCTGAGTGACAGCATGACGAGTATCGTGGAATGCACAGCGCTCCTGTCTGTGGACACCAGGCAGGGGCTCGCAGATGGAAAGGAAGCGGGGGACTGAGAGACAAGTGAAAGAAGACAGTGGCAGACCTGGGGGACGGAAGGTGTGACTGACGGAGAGGAGCATCACTGGTAGTCTTTCCATTTTTCCTTTTTCTCACACACGATATCCAATTAGACACCCAGTGCTGCAGTTCTAACTTCAGCCACCTCTCTTGTCTATTTATCTTCCCTCCTTATTCTCTTTATGCTTCCCAGTTTCCTCCCTAAAACAAAAACAAAACAAAACATCTCTGATCGTACAATCTCCTTTTCCCCCTTTGGCTCTTCATTGGCTTATTATCACCCCTCCACCATCTAGATGGAATCGTCTCTTTCTAATTCGTTTCCTAACACTCACACCCACCCCGCCAACCCCCAGACACCTTCAGAATGCGATGTCTCTGCACACACCCACACCTCTGGTTTGCCAGGCCCTCTGCCACCAGCTTCGTTCTCTGTTCTCACGCTCACCAAGTTTGTTTCTGCCTCAGAGCTGTTCCGTTGAGTGTTTTCTGCTCTGAAGACTCTCCCTTTAGATGATCTTGTCATTTGGATTTCAGTGCTAAGACCTTCCCTGACCACCTCATCTAGAATAGTCTCCACATCACTTGGTTTCACCTTCTTGTAAGATTCAGGGCCACTGAGAGGGTGTGTAGTGCCTTTGCTGTAATTAGAGAGAAGTGCCTCCTCTCTTTGGTGCAGACCCCAATGGGCCCCTCAGCCGGATCTCTGCACAGGGGACACACTGCAGACTTCTTCATGACGGCCTGGAGAGTTCTGTCCCTAGCCGGAATGATCTTATTTGCCTACTTATTCTTCACCAGCCTCCCCGGCTCATTGCGTGACCCCAAAAATCTTCTATATTTTTCAAAGCTGTATCTCCAATACTTTATTTGTGCCTTCAACCCCAGGGCTTAGAGTACCTTAGGAATCCAACAAATATTGGCTGAATGAATTAATGAACTAATGAATTCTGTGATGCCTTGATTGATCTTGTCTCTGTATTGGCTCAGGCCTCTGAATATACATCTTCTAGAGTATTTATCACATTGTGTTGTCATTCTCTTTCTATTCCATATCTCTTCCGCTAGACTGTGAGCTTCTCAAGGTCAGAGAATGTGCCTTGTCAATCCTGTGTTGTTTAGCACAGTATCTGGTACATTATGGGTTCTCAGTAAGCATGTGTTTAAGTTAATGGCTGAGTTTCTGAATCTCACTGAAAGGAAGAGAAGTGGTTCCATTAAAATAAGGAAGTCTGATAGAAGAGAGGTTTCCTAATGGGAAAATGAATTCAATTTTGAGTTTGAGATGTCAGCTGAGTATTCAGATGAAAATGTCCAGAGGTGACAGGGAGTGTGGAAGTTGGGAGTGCAGCTGGGGCCCGAGGGGAAGCTGCAGCATGCATGGGTGAAGATGTTCATTAATAAGGGAAAGGTTATGGATGCAGGTCC